TACTTTTAAAATAAATTAATTAATTTACAGTTTGTAGCTGTAATTTTTCAAACAATTTATTGTTGTTTTTTTTTCTTCTTTGCAAATATTTTTTCCTTTTTTTTATTGTGCCAGATAATAGCTAGTAAAATCGCAGAAAAAAGGACCAAAACTGTCAATAATGTCCACATTATAGATAGATAGATAGACAGATAGATAGATAGATAGATAGATAGGTAGTTTGACACTATAAAAGTTTAATATTAGCTTTTATTTCAAAATGGAAGATTAATCGAGCCCTAATGTCCCATTTATTCCTCTAATGCATAAGTTTAATATGAAATGAAAATGTTGAGTTTATAGTTCGAACAAATAACTAATAAAGTTAAACATTGACATGTAAGTAAACCTAACACATGCACGTATAGCTTACCGTATTAAGCGATTATGTGGTGAAAATCAGTGTTGCTGCAATTTCAAAAAACAGTTGAGAAAAACGTACACGTCTTCTTTCATGTTTTTATTGAGTTATTCATACTGTTACACAACTTCATGAAATGTACACGAGTATATGTACTTGTACATCAATTTACATCTGTATCAAGTAAAAACAAAGATACAAACTATTAAGTAATGCTTTTTTGTTTGTTTTTTAAATACATTTTTTAAAGACCAGCTTACAAAAAATTGCACTAAAACTAGAGTCTGCACATCAGCTTCTCTGTAACATATACTTCCTGGATACATCTACTGACTGATAGTTTTGGTGTAATTCTGAATGAGACCTTGGAAGTACTGCGGCGTATTTTTATGGGGCTGAAGAATAATGATGTAGCATTTCGGGAGGAAATACCACAACAGAAAGCAGTAGAGACTGGAGAGCACAGCCAGGGCGTTGAATGTGTGGATGTACTTGCCACGATAGAGCATGTATTCAGTGGCAAAGATGATCCATGTGAGGATCAGCAGCAGGAGGCAGAAGGTTATGGCTTTGGCCTCGTTGTAGTTTTTCGGCAGGTCTTTTCCCAT